AAGAGAGAACTTGATAAGCACCTCCAAAGAATACCTGATCAACCAGGCTGTGACTCATACGTCAGGCTGCGAGCAGCTGCGTGTAACAGCCTAATTGACCAGTTCAGCAACGAGGAGGCCTGGTTGAGGACCAGGCCGCGGGGACGCTAAGCCCCAAAACCATCTCAAGGTAACAATCAAGGTAAGCTCTCCCCTTCCCGGGAGGGGGGGGGGAACTCTGGACCCTTCACGTCAGCTACTCGGCTACTCCAGTTCGTTGGCTAATGCGATCTACGGCAGTTGTCAACCCTAGCCTCGATTTCTTGGCAGTGTTTTGCCTTAATGGTGTAGTGGCCAGATGGAATAAGTGTACCGGGGCTGCATGTGCTTAGGGTGGGCTTCCCTAAGCGACCTGTGAGCACTACCCCTGGGTGCTAGGGTTCTCTTCCCTTGTGCCTTCGGGACGTCATTTCCGTAGGGGTTTTTGCTACTTGGCATTTACCTTGCCCTTGGGGCCAGCTGAGGTTTTCGTGGCCCTTGTTTGGCCTTGGGTAGGGAGTGGTATTGTTGCTTGTTGGAGCGTCAAAGTGTTGCACAGCCAGCTTAACTATGCAGCGGCCAGTTCCTGTTTCCTCTGGGGACGTTGTACTTTTGTGGGGTTTTTCTTTTGTTTTTGTTTTCCTTGCCTGGTGTGGCTATAGTTCCACTTGATTGGCGACCTTCCGTTAGGCCCCCTGTGATTGTACACGTCACAGGGGGTTTGTGTTTTGATCTCCCTCCTTGTTAGTTTTGGGTCTTAACTGGTTAGCAATACCTTGCCTGGGCTTCCAGTAGCAGTCAGCCTACAGGCCCTGGAAAACCCAGTTGGGGTTCGGTGGACCTATGGATGTGTCTTCAGAGTTCCAGGCCGCTTTGTGTGGATTTGAAGGTTGCTGTGTGCCTTTATCTCAGGGTGACAGTCACCACTTTTGGTGCCAGCTTCTGAGCCGGCACTTCCTTCGGAGCCGGCGTCATCTGGTCAGTGCGATGATTGCTCTGTTCGTCGGCCAGCTTCTCGTAAGAACCCTTTTGCGGTTCGCCCTGTTGACTGGGCAATGGTGGTAGGCTTGCTCCGCTCACGCTTGGTCCCATGATTCGTGGGCGTTTCGGGTCATATCATCCGGTCTCAGGTGGCATTGGGCGGCTCTTCCTCCTCCGGGGGGTTTGGGGCTTGTTGGGCAGTCTTCTTCCTTTGCTAATTGTCAGGTCATCCCGGAATGGGTGCGCTTGGGTGTGGTCGAAACGGCTTCGTCCCCAAGGTGGGTTTCCCACCTGTTTCCAGTGCCAAAATGGGACTGTGCAGATCTGAGGTTCATTCTGGAATTGTCCCGTCTGAACCCCTGGATTCCTTGCACCTTCTTTCGGATGACCACTCTGTCTGGGGTCCGGCCTCTTTTGGAGCTGGGTGTCTGGATGGTGTGCCTGGACCTCGAGGATGTGTATTGGCACATTCCCATTCATCCGGGGTTCAGAGACTGGTTAGGTTTTGTGGTGAGGCGTCAGGCTTACCGCTTTCATTTGGCTTGAATTTGGCATCTCGCTTTTTTCACGTGTCTTACCCTGTTCATGGTGACCCATTTGCGTCTGATATGGGTTCAGGTTCTTGCCTACCTTGACGACTGGCTGGTGTAAGCTCTCAGTCGGTCTGCTTGTCTGCTCGCCAGTGGTTGTTCTTTGCCAGCTCGCCGGGTTCAGGTTCCTGGTGAACTTGCAGAAGTCCCATCTGATTCCACCCCAGGTTCGGACCTGGCTGGATCTTGTTTAGGACTCTTGAACTGCTGCTTTGTCTCCTCCCTAGGAGGCCTGGTCGACGACTGGGCCACACGGTCGCTAAGCCCCGAAATCACCTCACTTCAAGGTAACCTCCCTCTGGAGTCATTACTGCGGCTGCAGTCCTGCCTTCACCTGTTTCTGAAGGGCTCCCGGATTACTCAGCAGTTGCTTGAGCAGGTGTGCCAGAGTCTGAACTTCAAGGTTCTTGTTTACCCCTTTGGGACGGGTGTCTTCAGCAGCTGGTCTGGTTCCTTTCGAGATCTCCCTTCCGCTGCTCTTGTGATCGTTGGCTTTTGGCCCCTGGGGGCTTTGTGTCGGTTGCTGCGTCGCTGGCTTCCTCTTCGGGTTTTTCGGGGTTCAGTGCCTTGGCGCCTACATGAGCCCTTGCTCGATGTGTTTACGGATGCCATGTCTTTCAGCTGGGGCTTTGTGACAGTGCCCACTAGGCTGGCCAGCAGCAGTGGGTTTTGTCCTTCCGTCACGCTTACAGCACGGTGTGGGAGTTTAAGATGGTTTTGGCTGGCTTTAGCTGTCTGTGCATTTCATGTCCAGGGAGTGTACAACGTCTTGGCAGACGGCCTGTCTCGGTTCATTCCCGTGTCCACGGAATGGACGGTTGATGCCGACTCCTTCAGTTGGCGCTGCGGGATGTACAGACTCCTGGACGTGGATCTCTTCGTGTTGGCATGTCCTGGCATCTACTTGTGTATGTGGCGCCCTTCGGCGACTGCGAGGCCTTAACGGTGGACGCCTTTCGGCAAGACTGGTCGAGGTGAGCTTACCTGTACCTCTTTCCCCTTGTCAAGCTGTTACTTCGGGTCCTGGCTCGATTGGTGACTTACCAGTGGAAAGTAGTTCTTTTGGCTCCTTGGTGGCCAGCCCAGCCTTGGTTTCAGGCGCTGCTTGCTCGGTATCCAATCCCGCGATGTTGTCCACGGCTACGCCTCTTTTAGCAGATCAGCCTGGTCAGGTACCTGGCTGGTTCGGTCTTTTTCTTTGCATCTGGCTTTTCTAACGCATGTCTATCACCACTTGTATGGTGATGAGGTGGCTTCGTTGATGGTGTCCCACCTTCCCACCTGCAAGCTTCGTCTCGGCGACAGCATGAAGTTTCTTGGCGCTCTTTCCTCTGTTTTCTCTATTTGTAGGTTATTCTCTATTTCGGATAGGGTTGTCTTGTCCTTTTTTTTATCAGGACTGTCATTTGATGCCTAATACTGTACTGTTGCCTCGTATCATATGGAGTTGGCTTTGCCAGCGCCAGCTTGCGTTTGAAATGAATGTTACTTCTGTCCCATTTCATAAGCTTTCTCTTGCTTTGTTCCACCTTCGGCCTGCTCATGTGCCCCCTCAGTCATTCTGATCCTTGGACAGGGTGCTCTCCTTTCTCTTCTCCTCAGCTTGTGGTAGGCCCCTTCGGTTCAAGATTCTTTTTCCAAGACTTTTCCTGTTGGCATTGGGTTCTGGCTATCGGGTGAAGGAGCTTCATACTCTCCTCCGGTGCAGAGGTTGCTGCTCTTTCTGTCCTAGTGGACAGAAAGGTCCTTTCTGTCCATTTTTTTTCGTTTGCAGCCGTCTCCTTTTCTGGCGAAGAATGAGACGGAGACTTTCCGGAGAGGTCCTTGGTTCATTGATGCTTGGTTGGTCAGACCGGAGGTGCATCATGTATTGTCTAGTTGCGGCTCTTTGCCGTTACTCTGTTAATCTTCACTTTGAGTTGACCCGGTTTCCCTTCATCCCTGTTCCAGGACTTGGGTCTCCCAGGTTGTCCGCAGGGTTATTCAATCCAGCTAGTCTGCTGTCTATGCTCATACCCATGACGTTCATAAGTTTTCTGCTTTGGCTACTGTCTTTGTCTACTGTTTTGGGCTGACATTCGGTCACAGGGATTTTGGAGGTCGAACAAGGTCCTGGCTGCATGTTGCTTAGTCAATGTTCCTGGCCCTAGTTGGGCATTTGTCGTTTTGGGTCGCAGCCTATTGTCTTGACTTAGAGTTGAGACACGAGTGGCAGCCACCTCTCGGGTAAGTCACATTTGTCACTTTTCTTTGTTTAGGAGCTCCAGGGAGTCGTAGGGGCTCCCCACAGAAAACCAGCGCTGAATATAATGAAACGCCATTTTCTGAGTGAGCCCTGGAGGCTTCCCAGCACCCGCCCTCCCTCCCTCCCTCTAGTCGGCAATCTTTTCGTGTTGCTTTTGATGCTTGGCCTCAGAACTGAATGCTGGAGCGGCTGGTGCAGGGGGGAGGGTTTCGGGGGGGGGGGGGGGAAGGCTGCTTGGATAAGTGGCGTGGCAGCGTGAGTGATGCGTGAGTTTCTTTGCTTGTTTTAGTTTGGGAGTTAATCCTCCCTGTATGGTTTTATTTAGCAATTTTTGCCATGTGAGGTTTGTTTTGTTACACCTACCTTTCGGTGCCAAACCCCGGTCGATGGCGCCGGTCGAGGGAGCCGGTCGGCCGAGCGGACAGCACACTGGACTTGTGATCCTGTGGTCCTGGGTTCGATCCCAGGCGCCGGCGAGAAACAATGGGCAGAGTTTTTCACCCTATGCCCCTGTTACCTAGCAGTAAAATAGGTACTGTACCTGGGTGTTAGTCAGTTGTCACGGGCTGCTTCCTAAGGGGTGGAGGCCTGGTTGAGGACCGGGCCGCGGGGACACTAAAACGCCCCGGAATCATCTCAAGATAACCTCAAGATGGCAGTCATTGAATGCTTACAAACACACAGGGGTTTCCATCCGCCATTGCTCCTTGTGCCTTTGTGAGGGGGCCAGGTTCTGGCTCATGGTTTCTGGTAGGCAAAGAACTCCATTGACCGATGCCACGGTCTCATAAGTACATATCAACCCAGTAAGCTCCGGGGAAGCTCTGGGGCTCACCCAGAAAATGGCATTTCTTTACATTCAACACTGGTTTTTTAGCCAGAGTATGGACCAACTTGAATAAGATAAGTAAAAAGTGCAGTTTTATAATTTTTTGTAATTATAGTTTATAACATTTTTTATTTATATAGTGTTTTAAGATGCACAAAGCTATGTTTGTTCATTTGCTATAAGAAATAAAAAAAAAGGCAAAATATCGCAACATCCAAATTTTCTCAAATTAGATGAGGTCTTCAGTATTATACAGAGTCTGGATTTTGTGGGTGCCACATTACTTACTAGTGTCTCCAAATAATTTGCCTGAAGTTTTATTTTTTTTATATTGCAGACAGAAAAAGGTTATTCAGATTCCACCCAAATCTGTGGCAGCCCCGATTTCCCTCACGCCTCGTCACAAAGTGGCAGTTGTGAAACCTGCCGACGTAAGAATCATCGTTAAGACATCGGAGACCTCGGATAAAGAAGTTGGCAATAAGGCCGTTGCCAGCATGTCTATGTCTACTCCAACCAAGTCGGTTGTAGTTAGCACTACTAAACCGACTGTTTTACCTACAACAGCTGTTATTAAAGATGGAGAGGTGAAGAAGGATGCAGCGGGTGTTAATAAAAAGGATGAAACCAATCCTTCCAAAAACACCCCTGCCAAAGAGAATAAAAAAGTAAGTCCTTTTTGTAATAGCATTTTTGAAGCCGTACTGCACTGGGGGTGCAGCTGTAGTACACTGGGGGTGCAGCTGTAGTACACTGGGGTGCAGCTGTAGTACACTGGGGGTGCAGCCGTAGTACACTGGGGGTGCAGCCGTAGTACACTGGGGGTGCAGCTGTAGTGCACTGTGGGTGCAGCTGTAGTACACTGGAGGTGCAGCTGTAGTACACTGGGGGTGCAGCCATAGTACACTGGGGGTGCAGCTGTAGTGCACTGTGGGTGCAGCTGTAGTACACTGGAGGTGCAGCTGTAGTACACTAGGGTGTAGCTGTAGTACACTGGGGGGTGCAGCTGTAGTACACTGGGGGGTGCAGCTGTAGTACACTGGGGGGTGCAACTGTAGTGCACTGGTGTTGCAGCTGTAGTACACTGGGGGCGCAGCTGTAGTACACTGGGGGTGCAGCTGTAGTGCACGGGGGGTGCAGCTGTAGTGCACTGGGGTTGCAGCTGTAGTGCACTGGGGGTGCAGCTGTAGTGCACTGGTGGTGCAGCTGTAGTACACTGGGGGCGCAGCTGTAGTACACTGGGGGTGCAGCTGTAGTGCACTGGTGGCACAGCTGTAGTGCACTGGGGGTGCAGCTGTAGTGCACTGGTGTTGCAGCTGTAGTACACTGGGGGTGCAGCTGTAGTACACTGGGGGGTGCAGCTGTAGTACACTGGGGGGTGCAGCTGTAGTGCACTGGTGTTGCAGCTGTAGTGCACTGGGGGTGCAGCTGTAGTACACTGGTGGCACAGCTGTAGTGCACTGGGGGTGCAGCTGTAGTACACTGGTGGCACAGCTGTAGTGCACTGGGGGTGCAGCTGTAGTGCACTGGGGGTGCAGCTGTAGTACACTGGTGGCACAGCTGTAGTGCACTGGTGGTGCAGCTGTAGTGCACTGGGGGTGCAGCTGTAGTGCTCAAGGATGTAGCTTTATAGTATAAATGAGTGTAGTTGTAGTACACAGGGGGTGCATTTATAGTACACGAGTGCAGTTGAAGTACACAGGATTGCAGTTGTTCTGACCTAGTTGTACTCACCTAGTTGTGTCTTCTTGGGCTGAGTTCTGGGTCTTTGGACCTGCCTCTCGACCTTCAGTCAACTGGTAATTACCCAATAAGTGTAATTACCTAAATGTAGTTACAGGATGAGAGCTACGCTCGTGGTGTCCCGTCTTCCCAGCACTCTGTCATATAACGCTTTGAAACTACTGACGGTCTTGACCTCCACCACCTACTCACTTAACTTGTTCCAACCGTCTACCACTCTGTTTGCAAAAGTGAATTTTCTTATATTTCTTCGGCATCTATGTTTAGTTTAAATCTATGACCCCTTGTTCTTGAAGTTCCATGTCTCGTGAAATCTTCCCAATCAATTTTATTAATTCCTGTTACTATTTTGTACGTAGTGATCATATCTCCTCTTTTTCTTTTATCTTCTAGTTTTGGCATATTTAATGCCTTTAACCTCTCCTCATAGCTCTTGCCCTTCAGTTCTGGGAGCCACTTAGTGGCATGTCTTTGCACCTTTTCCAGTTTGTTGATGTGCTTCTTAAGATATGGGCACCATACAACCGCTGCGTATTCTTGCTTTGGCCTAACAAAAGTCGTGAACAATTTCTTTAGTATTTTGCCATCCGTGTATTTAAAAGCAATTCTCAAGTTAGAATGCGTGGCATAGGCTCCTCGCATAACGTTCTTTATATGGTCCTCGGGTGATAATTTTCTATCTAGAACCACCCCAAGATCTCTTTCTTTATCAGAAGTCTTTAAAGATTTTCCACATAATATATAGGTTGTGTGGGTCTATGAACATGTTTGCTGATGATGCTAAGATAATAGGAAGGATAAGATATTTAGATGATTGTCATGCCCTGCAAGAAGACCTGGACAAAATAAGTATATGGAGCACCACTTGGCAAATGGAATTTAATATAAATAAATGTCATGTTATGGAATGCGGAATATTAGAAAAAACACTATTCCACATTCCATAACATGGCATTTACAGTATATATATGAAATTACATTTGCCAAGTGGTGCTCCATATACTTATTTTGTCCAGGTCTTCTTGAAGGGCATGACAATCATCTAAGTATCTTATCCTTCCTATTATCTTAGCATCATCAGCAAACATGTTCATATAATTCTGCATTCCATCTGGTAGATCATTTATGTAGACAGTTAACATTACCGGTGCAAGAACTGAACCCTGTGATACTCCACTTGTGACATTTCTCCAGTTCGATACACTTCCTCTTATTACTGCCCTCATTTTTCTATGTCACAAAATTTTTCATCCATGTTAGCAGATTACCTGTCACCCCTCCAATGTGTTCCAGTTTCCAGAACAACCTCTTATGTGGAACTTTGTTGAAAGTTTTTTTTTTTTTTTTTTATGTCCAGATAGATGCAGTCAACCCAACAATCCCTTTCCTGTAAAATCTCTGTGGCTCGATCGTAGAAACTGAGTAAATTCGATACACAGGATCTTCCAGATCGAAAACCATACTGTCTGTCTGATATTATATCATTTCTCTCCAAGTGTTCTACCCATTTAGTTTTAATTATTTTTTCTAATATTTTGACTATTACATTTGTCAATGATACAGGTCTATAATTGAGGGGAGTCATCCCTGCTGCCACTTTCTTACATTGGAACTATGTTAACCTTTTTTCACACATCTGCTACGACACCTGTACACAGGGATTTCTGAAAAATTAGCTGAAGTGGTATGCTGAGCTCAGGTGCACATTCTCTCAGAAACCATGGTGAAACTCCATCCGGACCAACTGCTTTGTTCTTAGTTAGCTCCTTGAGCACTTTTTCCACCTCGTCTCTAGACACACCTATGTGCTCTATGTTGTTCTCTGGAATTCTTATTGTGTCTGGTTCCCTGAAGATTTCATTTTGTACAAACACACTTTGGAACTTTGTTTCACACATTTCCTTTTTCTTTTCTGTGAATCTATTTCCCATTTTCATATCATATGAAAATATTTTTCATACCTTTACCTGCAATTTGTTGTTTATGTATTTATAGAATAGACCTGGTTCTGTTTTACATTTGTCTGCAATCCCTTTTTTTAAATTTCTTTCAGCCTCTCTCCTTCTGTGTAGTTGTTTCTCGCATCTTTGTATTGCTGATATGTTTTGGGGTTTGGCCTCTTCCTATAATGATTCCATTTTTGTGTCTTTTGGTCTCTGGCCCTCTCGCAATTTCTGTTGAACCAATCCTGTTTCCTAGTTCTGCATCTCTGCTTTGGTATAATTTTTTTTTGTTCCTTTATCATATATTTCACAAAACTTGACATGCATCTCATATACTTCATGTCCTAACAGCAAGTCTTTCCTGTCAAATTCCTTAAAGAATTGTTTGAGTTCCCTATAATGACTGATTTCTCACTTCTTCAACCTCACTTTCTTCCAAATTATAACGCATTGCATACTTTATTCCCAAAAAGACATCGTCACTTTTACCCAAGGGAGGGAGGAACTGAATGTCAAATATCTCTCCCTCTTTCTTGGTAAATATCAAATCCAGCATGGAGGGAACATCCCTCATCCTCGTAGCTTGTTTAACGTGTTGAAACATGAATGTTTCCAGGATGAGGTTTACGAATCTACAAGTCCAAAAATCCTCCGTTCTAGCTTCATGTGCCTCCCAGTCTATGGATCTCAAGTTGAAGTCGCCAACTACCAACAGTCGTGATCTATCTCTATCAGCTCTCGCCATAATCTCTCATTATTGTTATAAGCCTCCCCTCGTTTATTATCCAGCTCCTCCTTTGACCATCTGTTGCATGGTGGTGGACTATATGTATTTATGATCGTTAGTTTATCATCCTGATTGCACATCTCTAGTGCTATTATGTCAACTTCTCATGGATTGGCAATCATTATTTCGTTAACCTTTAGGTGTTCTTTCACCAGCACAGCAAAGCCACCGCCATTCCTAATTTTTCTGTCCCGTCTCCAGACTGAGTAGCCCCTTGGGAATATGACCTCATTTAAAATATCAAGTTTTGTCTCCATGAGTGCAACAATGTCTAGCATCTGCAGCCATATTACATCACTTAACTCCAGTATCTTTGATCTCACTCCATCTATGTTGATGTATGCAATTTTCAGGAACATGTTTCCCCTCTACTTATTCTTCACTACCCCTTTCAATGGTGATTTTGTTGATTTGCCTTTTCGTACCATTTTACTGGTCTGCCTACCCCTATTACTTTGTAAAAAAAAGTATTGATTTCTTCTTCATTCCTGCTCTCATTTAGATATTTTGCCTCGACAAAGTTCAGTTTTAGCTTCTCTGTTTTCTTTTGAAAGATCTCGTCCTAACGGCCATACTTTCCCTTCCTCATCACTTTGTAATTTTTTAGCATTCCTTAGTACTTCTTCCATCTGTTTGGCACCATTTAGGGTGATCCTCATAAGGTCGATCTTTCTCTTTACGTACTTTCCAATCCTCCTGTAGTCGCCAACATTCTCATAGGTAGTAAGACCTTCCACGAGGCAAACAATTTTATCTACTACTCTCTTCTTCTACAGCTCTTTATGACCTAGATGTTATCTCCTTTTCTTTGCAACCAAAAATTATCAGGGACTTACTTCGATCAACTGTGTTTTTGTACCAATTTAGGATTTGATGTCAGTTATCTTGAGATGATTTTGGGGCTTTTTAGTGTCCCTGCGGCCCGGTCCTCGACCAGGTCTCCACCCCCAGGAAGCAGCCTGTGACAGCTGACTAACACCCAGGTACCTATTTAACTGCTAGGTAACAGGGGCATAGGGTAAAAGAAACTCTGCCCATTGTTTCTTGCCGGCGCCTGGGATCGAACCCAGGACCACAGGATCACAAGTACAGCGTGCTGTCCGCTCGGCCGACCAGCTCCCTTTCCTTTCCTTTCCTTTCCTTTCCAGAAAGTTCCTTTCTGACTTTCAGCCTAATGTTTGTTTTATCCTGGTTGCTACAGTGTTTGACTTCCTTTACTGCTGCTTCTATTTTTTCCTTCTCCTTGGCCACTTGAGCATAGGTGAGTTGCATATCCTTGCACTGTTCTATTCCCTGTGTAACTTCCTCCATCTGTGCTGACAAAGGCTGTTTTTTATGTTGAATTTCCTTACCTAACCTATCGTGGTCATTTAAGTTTACATTTGCTTTAACTTCTTCCAAAGCTATTTTTTTTTCATTTATTTTCCTCTTCCATGGCTTTGTAATTTGTTTCCAATTGATTCTTGTCCTTGCATAAGTCTTTCACCAACCCTTCAAGACCTAAAACTTTGGTACTCAAGTGCTCATTACTTTCTTTTAATTTGCTGATTATTTCTACATGATAGTTCACTATAATATTTAATTTTGCCAATTTTTTGTGTAAACTGCTTATATCAATGCTTTCTTCATTAAAACCTCCAAAATCTAGCACTGTTTTGTTTTCCTTCTTGTCGGTGGCCATCTTAAATGTTTTTGTCTGCACTGTACGGCAACTTCTCATCCAATTTTTTTTTTTTTAACTTCCCCTGGCACATTTGTGTTATCTTCAGCTTCCACCTGTTTCCCCTTGTTCGTGTACCACCTGTGTTAAATAATCAATCCATGTCTATCCTGTCAATTGCCTTGAGAATTTTGCATGTGGTTATCGTGTGCCCCCGAGCTCTCCTGTCTTCCAGCGACATGAGGTGCAGTTCCTGCAGCCTTTCCTTGTAACTCATGCCTCTTAGTTCTGAGACTAGCCTAGTGGCATACCTCTGAACTTTTCCCAGCTTTGTCTTGTGCTTGACAAGGTATGGGTGCCATGCTGGAGCTGCATACCCCAGGATTGGTCTTATATATTTGGTATAAAAGGTTCTGAAGGATTCCTTACACAGGTTCCTGAAGGCAGTTCTGATGTTAGCCAGCCTTGTATACGCCGCTGATGTTATTCTTTTGATGTTGGTTTTAGGAGACAGGTTTGACGTGATAGCAACTCCTAGATCTTTCTCTCTGTCTCATGAAGGACTTCATCTCCCATTTGGTATCCTGTATCTGGCCTCCTATTTCCTCCGCCTAGTTTCATTATCTTACATTTACTTGGGTTGAACTTTAGTAGCCATTTGTTGCACCATTCCTTCAGTTTGTTTAGGTCATCTTGTAGCCTTTTACTATCTTCCTCTGTCTTAATCCTCCTCATAATTATGGCATCATCAGCAAACATTGAGAGGAACGCGTCTATTCCCTCTGGGAGATCATTTACTTATGTCAGAAACAGTTTAGGTCCAAGGACTGGTCCCTGTGTGACTCCACTGGCGAGTCCTTGTCACTCCGAGACCTCACCCCTCACAGTGTCTCTGTCTCTTGCTTAGGTACTCCTTTATCCAATGGAGTACCTTCCCTTTCACTGCTGCCTGAATCTCCAGCTTGTGCACGAGTCTCTATGTGGTAATGTGTCAGAAGCGTTTTGACAATCCAAAGAAAGTCTGCCCTCTCCTTGCCTGATTTTTTACCTGGTTACAGAATTCAGTTAATCCCGTGAGGTATGATTTGCCTTCCCTGAACTCGTGCTGCTGATGTGTTACACAGTTGTAGTACACAGGGTGTGAAGCTGTATTACAGAGGGTGAATCTGTAGCACACAGAGATAGAGCTGTGGTATAGGGGGGTGTAGATGTACTACACAAGTTACTGCTGAGCCCCCTCAACTTTCAGAAAGATCATTGGAAATACATTGGCCATTTTCTAGATTTCCAGGAGCTCTCAAATTTCTAAGGTCAATATGAAAGTTGTAGTTAAGTGTGTAATAACATTTTTGCAGCCTCCTTCATTACTCACAGATACACCTAGTTAAGTTCTACTTTTTTTTGCTATGTCAAGTTCCTCAAGGTGTCCTCAAGGTGCCTTTTATATCTACAATAATTTACATTGTCAAGTGCTGCTTGTGGCTAACTGTTGTCTCCTCTCTTTGGACAGCAATCTGACTCAAAGTTGTAGACCTGGAACCTGTTGTAGAGTTTTTTGCAGTGATTCTCCACAAATTCCTCCCTGTCACAACAGTTTGTTCAACAGGTTTTGTATTTGTAGCTCTCCTATTTACATACCTGCAATGGCCTATGTTTGTTGTTTGTTCTTGTCGAAATGTTGTTTTCAGACTGCTTCTCTGCCGACATGATTCTGGTGTACAGTATAGTACTTCTGACCCTCGTAGGGCCTCTTTATTTACCTCTGTTCTCCAGGTCCATATACATAGACCTATTTCTGTTTTTGTCTTCTTATCCTCCTTTCATTGTTCATTGGGTTTTGCTGTTCCCTTTCCATCCTCTTTCCACTTTAGAGTTATAGACTGTTTTCATGCTTTTGTGCATTTCTGTATTACGAATTTTATCATCCCATTTGTAGACTTTTCTTTCAGTTGAGTCTCCCATTGAATATGTATCTTGCTAGTTCATTCCTTAACGTTCTTTCTCGCCCTCCACCCTGTTTGTTGACTCCTTGATCTGTTGACACAACAATTGGCTGTATTTGCAAATCTTTTTCTCCATGTATTTTATATAAAACTTTATAATGTGAATTGCAAAGACTGTGTTGGTAAACATCTTTGTTTTTTCACATCAACTTTTCTTAAATAAGGCGTTGCTGAAACTGACCTCTTTGCTTTGCATTCACCATATATAGTACAGTATTTATTGCCATGTTTATTCTCAGTTTCAATAAACAAACAAAAATCATAGTTTCCATTTTGGGCTGTGTGTAGTACAGTATATGGAAAATATTTTGTGTGCATTGAAAAACTTGTATTAAAATGTACAGTGATTTATTTCTTTGTTTGAGTTTGATAGGAACAGTGCATTTATTTTAAACAAATACCTAAAATTATTTTGATTTATTTTTCTTCCCACTCTTAGCTCTCAGACAGTGTCACTGTACTAGTAAGTATTTTTATAGCTCTTTATGTTGTGTTATAAGTATTATTCTTACTTGCTTTAAGTTTGATTAGTACTGTACAGTAGTTCCCAGAAAATGTTAACCAGTGTGCATCGTTTTGATTTATAACTTCTCGACAGATGTAATTTTTGTTTCTACTTATGGCCTTGTACTTCATACCTAAAACTTGTGTATACTGTACTAAACATTCATAATGTATTCATCTTTCCCCCTCTCCACCTCTCAAAAAAAAAAAATTGCGTAGAATAGGCTTAAAACTGTTAAGGATTCAAAATGAAACAAGATTACATAGGGAGGGCCTAGGCGTTGCATAGATGGTGTAATTATTGTAAGATTTCAGAGGGCAGTGGAGGTGTATAAATTAAGGCAGATCACGTAGGTGCAGGGCGGGAACACACCAGCGCTGTGTTATGTGGGAAAGTCTCACAGCTGGGGAAGGGGAAGGAACAAAATGAAACCCCTTTTGAATAACAGACCAGCAAGGTTACCAAATATTTTGGCTGAGTGCTTGAACGTGATGTAATGACAGGTGCCCTAATGCTTGGTGCACCATAATGTAATGACAGGTGTCTTAGTGCATGCTGCACCATAATGTAATGACAAGTGCCCCTAATACTTGGTGCACCATAATATAGTGATAGGTGTCTTAGTGCATGCTGCACCATAATGTAATGACCAAGTGCCCCTAATGCTTGGTGCACCTTAATGTAATGATAGGTGTCTTAGTGCATGCTGCACCATAATGTAATGACAGGTGCTCCTAATGCTTGGTGCACCATAATATAATGACAGGTGTCTTAGTGCATGCTGCACCATAATATATCATATATATATATCCTAGTACATGCTGCACCATAATGTAATGACAGGTATCCTAATGCATGCTGCACCTTAATATAATGACAGGTGTCTTAGTGCATGCTGCACCATAATATATCATATATATATATCCTAGTACATGCTGCACCATAATGTAATGACAGGTATCCTAATGCATGCTGCACCTTAATATAATGACAGGTGTCTTAGTGCATGCTGCACCATAATATATCATATATATATATCCTAGTACATGCTGCACCATAATGTAATGACAGGTATCCTAATGCATGCTGCACCTTAATATAATGACAGGTGTCTTATTGCATGCTGCACCATAATATAAGAACAGGTGTCCTGGTGCATGGTGCACCATAAATTAGCTCATAGTGTAACTGTTTCTTCCAAATTGGCAATGGTAGGGAACCTGTTGTTACCCCTTGGAGATTTCGAGAATCAAAGCCCTGCAGCAGGGAATGGTCAAAATTTGACCCCAGCCCCTCAAAATTGGAAAATGATGCCGTAGGTATCAGGAGGCCTGGTTGAGGACAGGCCATGGGGACGTTGAGCCCTGAAATCTTCACAGGATAGGTAAGGGAATTATATGTTCAAGTGAAGGGTTTGAGCCCCGGGTTAGGAAGGATGCTAGCCCTAACACTAGCAACCCATAAACACTTAGACAGATAGGAATTTATCAAAAGGAATCATTCAGGAAACTGTGTACAGTGGAATCTCGAGTGACGAGCACCTCAATCTGTGAGAATTTTGAATAATGAGCGTGCCACTCGGCGAAAATTTGTCTCGATTGACGCGGTTTCGCTTGATTAACGAGAAAAGCACATGGTGCTTCTTAGCGTTCCCGCGGGTTCTCTCAAGTTCTCGGACTCATCCTACGATGCAAATAATTTTTTTTTTAAATGCTAATGATGCTGGGATGTAAAGGGGTGACTGCTGTAATGTTGCTAAGTATTCATTTTTAATTTTTAGATAAAATTAGAAAAAAAAAAGAAAAAAGAACAAATGTCAAAAAGGTTTGTTCAGTGAATGTCAGGTAGGCTGCTACATTTTCTAAAAAAAAAATGAAAAATGAAAAAAAATGAAATATGAAAAAAATAAAAAAATGTCATAAAGGTTCGTTTAGTGTGTGCCAGGTAGGCTGCTCCATTATTAATAAAAAAATGCAAAATACAAACCAAATTAAACAAATATGAAAAATTTAAAAAACCAGTGTTGAATGTAATGAAACGCCATTTTCTGGGTGAGTCCCGGAAGCTCCCCGGAGCTTTCCCAGGCTGATATGCTAATGTCAGACTTTGGCATCAGTCATGTGTATGGAGTTCTTAGGCCTACAGGGGACCATGGCCAGAACCGGGCCCCCTCAGAGAGGCAAGGGGAGCAATGGCCTATAGAAACCCCCGTGTGGTTGGAAGCATTCTATGTCTGCCATCGATCAGAACAGGTACCCAGAAAGGTAAGCGCCTCAAAACAAACCCCTATTCTGGTTAAAATTGCTACCAAAAGCCGAACTAGTGGATAGAACTCCCCCCAACAGAAAACAAGCAAACTAGTGTGACGTCACACGTCGCTGCGCCGCTGTCTGCACAGCTTCCCCCCTCTCCGGGAGGGGAAAGGGGGAGCCCCAGACCCTCCACACCTCAGTTTTTGAGGCTGGATGTCAAAAACGCGAAAAAATGCCGACCGGAGGGAGGGAGGGAGGGAGGGATGCCGGTGAGCCTCCGGGACTCACCCAGAAAATGGCGTTTCATTACATTCAATGCTGGTTATCTGGGGGAAGCCCTGTTGGCTCCCCGGAGCTAACTACCCACAAACGGAAAAAAGAGGGACTTACCCGGGAGGCGGTCGTCGCTCACTCCTCAACTCAAAGCCGAGACAACTGGCTGCAAACGCCAACCCAAAGCAACACAGGCCCGACGTGGCCCAGGGACATTCACAAGGTAACGAGCAGCCAGGACCCTATTCAACCGCCAAAATCCCCACTTCGGAATATCAGACCAAGACAAATTCCCAAAGACGGCAGCAAGAGCCGCGAACTTACGGATGTCATGGGCACGGGGATAGACCGCAGGCTGGCTGGACTTAAAATAACCCTGCGGACGACTTGGTAGACCCGAACCCGCGAACAGGGAAGAAGGGAAACCGGATCGACCCAAAGCGCGTCCCCGGACACAGAAGCCGTGGCTCGCAAATGACGGCAAAGCGCCGCAACTGGACACAAAACATGATGCACCCCTGGCCTGACCAACCAAGCATCAACCACCCACGGACCCCTCCGGAACGCAGCAGTCTCATTCTTCGCCAGAAAAGAAGGAGACGGCTGCAAGCGAACAAAACAATCACCACGACCAAAAGAGCAGAAACCCCTGCGCCGGAGAAGAGCATGAAGCTCCACTACCTGACCCCTAGAGGCCAATGCCAACAAGAAAAGAGCCTTGGAGAAACAATCCCGTACCGAAGGGGCCACAACGAAACGAGGAGACGAAAGAAAACGAGCACACGGTCCAAAGACCAGGACTGCTCAGGCGGCGCATGAGCAGGTCGGAGGTGAAACAAGGCACGAGACAGCTTGCGAAACTGCGCAGACGTAACATCGGATGCCGGACCAACCGGGCTGTGGTGGGTATGTGGGCCTGCGGGCTGCTCCAAGCAACAGCCTAGTGGACCAAACTCTCACAAGTCAAGCCTGGCCTCAGGCCGGGCTTGGGGAGTAGAAGAACTCCCAGAACCCCATCAACCAGGTATCAACCAGGTATCGATGCCGAAGGCAAGCTGAAGTGGCTCCGCCAGCGCCGCATGATTAGGCATAAGATGTAAGTGTTAGGCATAAGATGACGGTCCTGAAACAACCAAGAGAGAAAGGACAAGACCACCCTAACAGACAAGGAACTAACACGACGAAGACGCAAAAAGAAACAAAAGGACCGCCAGGAAACTTCATACTGCTGCCGAGAAGAAGCCCTCAGGTGGGATATGAACAAGGACACCTGATCACCATAGAGATGATGATAAACTCGAGTCAAAAAACCCCTACGCGAAGACTCGAGGAGAAGACCGAACCAGTCACGTGACGTACCGGCCTGATCTGCTGAAAGAAGCGGAGCCGCGGGAAAACCTTCGGGTTCGGACACCGAGCAAGCAGCGCCTGAAACCAAGGCTGGGCCGGCCACCAAGGGGCCAGAAGGACAACTCTCCCCTGGTAAGTGTCTCCAAGCGAGTCAGGACCTGGAGCAACAGCTGAACTGGGGGAAAGAGGTACAGGAACCCCCACCTCGACTAGTCTAGCCGAAAGGCATCGACCCCGACGGCCTTGCAATCGGGGAAGGGTGCCACATACACGGGAAGACACAGCGAGCACGCCGACGTGAAGAGGTCCATCTCGGGGCGCCCGAACGTCTGGCAAAGCCAATGGAAGGACTCGTCGTCGACCGTCCACTCCGTGGAGAGGGGGAACGAAGCGAGACAGGGCATCCATCGGCCAAGACGTTGGACACTCTCTGTACGTGAACCGCCAGGAGAGCCAAACCCCGAGAACTCAGCAGACGAGTCACCCGAAGCGACCAACCCCAAAGAGACAAGGACCTCATCGAACCCCCGCGGTTCAGGCAATGAACCACCGGAGAGCAGTCCGAATGGAGTCGAATCGTCGATCCTCGGGCCACCAGAAACCTCCAAAGAGCAAACCACACTACCGCGAACTCCCGCACCGTGCTGTGAGCTCGACGGAAGGACGGATCCCAACGTCCCTGGCCGGCCTGGTGAGCACTGGTCACAAAGCCCCAGCCAAGAGACAACGCATTCGTGTACACATCGAGCGAGGGCTCGGGTAGGTGCCAAGGCACTAAACCCCGAAAAACCTGAAGAGGAAGCCGGTGACGCAGCAACCAACGCAAGGCCCCCGGGGGTCGAACCCTGCGATCGCGAGAGAGGTGGAAGGGGTGACCCCGAAGGAACCAGAACAGCCGACGAAGCCAAACCCAACCCGGCGGGTAGACCACCATCGCGAAGTTCAGGCTCCCGCACAGCCCCTCGAGCAACCGCCTGGTGACCCGAGGGCCCACCAGAAACAGACAAAGGCGGGACCGCAGCCGCAGGAGAGACTTCGGAGGGAAAGACCAGCCACGTCCGAACCTGAGAGGGGACCAGATGG